TGCTGGTCTTGAACTCCTGTCCTCAAGCGGTCTGCCTGCCTTGGCTTCCCACAGTGCTGTGATTACAGGTGTGAGCCACCACACTTTTGCAGGTAGCTTTATTTTATTTATTTTATTTTTAATTAATTTTTGAAGAATCTTTATTCTGTTTTCCACAGTGGAAAATGACAGATGGATATTCAATTTCCCCTACATCATCTGTGGAAGAAACTATCCTTTCCTTATTGTGTAACTTGGCACCTTTGAAGAATGTGATGGTTAATACTGTCAACTTGATTGGATTGAAAGATACAAAGTATTGATTCTAAGTGTGTCTGACAGGGTGTTACCAAAGGAGATTAATGTTAGATTCAGTGGGCTGGGAAAGGCAGACTCACCTTTAATATGGTGGGGGCAATCTAATTAGCCACCAGCATTGGCTGGAATATAAGCAGGCAGAAAAATGTGAAAAGAGAGACTGGCCTAGCCATCCAGTTTACAGTTTTTTTCCCATGACGGATGGCTCCTGCCCTCAAACATCAGATTCTAAATTCTCGAGTTTTATAACTGGGACTGGCTCTCCTTCCTCCTCAGCATGCAGATGGCCTATTGTGGAACCTTGTGATGGTGTGAATTAATACTTATTAAACTCCCATATATATATATATTATATACATATATAATATATATATAATAATTTAATATATATAAGCTGGAAGAGCAATTCCTCCAGCTATATATATATATATATATATATGTAATATATATGCAAAATATATATATGTGTGTGTGCACATATATATATTTCATTATATATATATGTGTGTGTGCACATATATATATTTCATTATATATATATATGTGCATACATATATATGAATATTCCAATAATTCTGTCCCTCTAGGCAACCTTGACTAATATATTGAAGATCAATTGAATATCTATGTGTGAGTCTATTCCCGAACTCTCTATTCTGTTCCATTGGTCTGTATTTCTGTCTTTGTGCCAGTACCAACTGTTATAATTACTGTAGCTTTATGATGTATATTATTTTCAATCAGGGCAGGTGATGCCTCTGGCTTTATTCTTTTTTTCCAAAATCATTTCAGCTATTGGGAATTTTTTGTAGTTCCTTATGAATAAAATTTTTTTTTCTGTTCTTATAAGAAAGGTTATTAGGATTTTAATAGATATTCCATTAAATCTCTAGGTCTCTTTGGCTAGTATGGCCATCTTAACAATATTGAATCTTCCAGTCCATAAATATTAAATCTCCTTCCATTTTGTGTGCCTCACAAATTTCATCAATATTTTGTAGTTTTCAAAGTACATATCTTTCACTTTCTGAGTTAAATTAAGGCTAAGTATCTGATCATTTATAAATACCCCACTTTACTTTGCTGATATGTTTCTAGTAAAATAATTTTCATAACAAACCTTTTATTAATCATATGTATTTAAAGGTAATTGGTATATCCTATATATTCTTCAAAAATTAACTGATTTTCTGTAGGAGATGCTTTTAAAACAGTGTTTTCCTAGTCAAGTAATATGTATTAATCTGTATTCTAAACTAGACATTCTGCTGATATTAAAGTATTCAGATATTAAAGTATGAACAAGACAAATATATTTATTGTTTTTTAAAAAATTGGTGGCCTTTCTGGGGGTAAGATAATTAAAAATATAACTAATTATTAAGAAGTAATATTTTTAAGTTACAGGAAATAAAGAGGCTGTGAGAGAAATTATATTTCATTGTATGTATATATAATCCATATAATCTTATATCTAAATAAGTGTTAAATTTTTTCTATTATTTAAAATATATTTTGCTCCCAAAGGCTACGTGATTGATTTAAATTATTCATATTTTTTAAATAATAAAAAGTAAATTACTTTTACATTTTGTTTGCTCTACTACAAATCTTTAAATGTAACTAATGTAATGTAAGATACTAAGTTTACACTTTGTCTCTGAGTCTTCGACCATATCTTAAATCCTACAATAACATAGTTAAATTTAGGAGATTATAAGAAATAGTGACCAGAGAATGTTAAGTCAGAAGAAAAACTAGACTTTGAAAGCCTTCCTTTTATTCAAAATGCAGTGTCCTTTTTGTGCCTCTGGATATCATAAGTATCAAAAGAAATATTTTACGACCAAACTATTGTGTTTTGTGTTTATCGTGTGCCACACACATACCTAATAAATAATCATTTCACAACTTCTCTTTAAAGCATTCTATGGTCAATGAATCATGTAACATTTGAGATTGACGTCAGGTGAAACTGGACTAAACAGTGCTCAGATAAGCCTTGAGCGATGACAGAATGTAAACTCTTCAGTAGCAACACCAACTGACTTCCATCTAGAGATTATGTCAAAAAATATAATAATCTGCAACACATGAGCTAAACATAGAAAGCAGAGGAATTGGCATCTTTATATATTTAGCATCTTAATAGTTACTGTTTGAAATTTCATAGTCCTCTCTTCACGCTATAATTATCTCCTTGGAAAAAATTTTAAAAGTATTTTTTTATTATTTTATTGCATAATAGTATAACAGATTATACTTGGCTTTGATGAGATATTAAGTTGCACTTATTGAGAAGAAGAAATATTTTGGCAAGTGTCAAAATAAGCAACATGCTTTCTTCAAAATACATGCCAATTTATACTATTAAAATAGGCTTCTTTTTAATGTGTTTTTGAAAGATAATATACATTTTTTAAATTTCTAAAATATGTGGTTTTAATTTTTTGCTATGGTTATTCAATTTCATTGGATATACAATAAATATGTTTGAAGAATAAATTATTGTAATAATTTAGAGAATGAGAAATAAACTTCTAAAATAGCCATTCTGTTACATGTGATGACTTACATCTTACTGTTCCAGTGAATATATTTAAACATTGAAATGTTATCATGCTTACTGTTCCAGTGAATATATTTAAATATTGAAATGTTATCTTTCCATGAATTTAACTTATAATCTGAAATGGTTTGGCTATGTTCCCATTCAAATCTCAGCTTGAATTGTATCTCCCAGAATTCCCATGTGTTGTGAGAGGGGCCAAGGGAAGGTAATTAAATCATCGAGGCTGGTCTTTTCCATTCTATTCTTCTGATAATTAATAAGTTTCATGAGATCTGATAAATTTATCAGGGGCTTCCACTTTTGCTTCTTCCTCATTTTCTCTTGCTGCCACCATGTAATAAATACCTTTTGCCTCCCTCCTTGATTCTAAAGCTTCCCCAGCCATGTCAAACTGTAAGTCCAATTAAACTTATTTTCCTTCCCAGCCTCAGCTATGTTTTATCAGCAGTGTGAAAGCAGACTAATACAGGAAATTGGTACTGAGAGTGGGATGTTGCCGAAAAGATACCTGAAAATATGGAAGCGGCTTTGGAACTGGTTAACAGGCAGAGATCGGAACAGTTTGGAGGGCTCAGAAGAAGATAGAAAAATGTGGGAAACTTCGGAACTTCCTAGAGACTTGTTGAATGGCTTTGCCCAAAATGCTGATAGTGATATGAACAGTAAAATCCAAGCTGAGTTGATCTCAAATGGAGATGAGGAACTTATTGGGAACTGGAGCAAAGTTTATGTTTTAGCAAAGAGACTAGAAGCATTTTATCCCCACCCTAGAGATTTGTGAAACTTTGAACTTGAGAGAGTTGATTTAGCGTATCTGGCAGAAGAAATGTCTAAGCAGCAAAGCATTCCAGAGGTTTCTTGGGTACTGTTAAAAGTGTTCAGTTTTAGAAGGAAAGCAGAGCATAAAAGTTTGTAAAATTTCTAGCTTTGCTATGTGATAGAAAAGAAAAACCCTTTTTCTGGGGATAAATTCAAGCCTGCTGAAGAAATTTGCATAAGTAGTAAGGAGCCTAATGTTAATTCCCAAGACCTTGGAGAAAACGTCTCCAGGCCATGTCAAAGAACTTCGTAGCAGCCCCTCCCATCACAGGCCTAGAGGCCCAGAAGGAAACTGTGGTTTCATGAGCTAGGGCCTGGGTTCCTGCACTGTGTGCAGCCAAGGGACTTGGTGCACTGTGTCCAAGCTGCTGCAGCCATGGCTGAAAGGAGCCAATATACGGCTTGGGCTGTGACATCAGAGGGTAGAAGCCTTAAGCCTTTGCAGATTCCATGTAGTCTTGAGCCTGCAGATGCACAACATTTAAGAATTGAGGTTTGGGAACTTCCACCGAGATTTCAGAAGATGTTTGGAAATGCCTGGATGCTCAAGCAAAAGTTTGCTGTAGTGGCAGGGCTTTCATGGAAAACCTCTGTTAGGGCAGTGCAGAAGAAAAATGTGGGGTCAGAGCCCCCATACAGAGTCCCTACTGGGGCACTGCCTAGAAGAGGTGTGAGCAGAGGGACACGGTCCTCCAGACCCCAGAATGGTAGATCAACTGACAGTTTGCACCATGAGCCTGGAAAAGCTGCATATACTCAGTGCCAACCCATGAAGTCAGCTGGGAAGTACACTGTACTGTGCAAAGCCGCAGAGGCTGAGCTGCCTAAGACCATGGGAACACACCTCTTGCATCAGCATGACCTGGATATGCATTCCGGAGCTTTAATACTTTTACATTAAAGCTGGATTTTGGACTTGCATGGGCCCTGCTGGATTTTGAACTTGCATGGGCCATGTAACACCTTTGTTTTGACCAATTGCTCCCATTTGGAACAGCTAGATTTACCCAATGCCTATACCCCCATTGTATCTAGGAATTAACTGACTTGATTTTGATTTTACAGGCACATAGGCTGAAGGGACTTGCCTAGTCTCAGATGAGACTTTGGCCTGTGGACTTTGGGTTAATGCTGAAATAAGTTAAGATTTTTGGGGACTGTTGGGAAGCCATGCTTGGTTTTGAAATGTGAGGACATGAGATCTAGAGGGTCCAGGGGCAGAATGATATGATTTGGCTGTGTCCCCACACAAATGTCAACTTGAATTGTATCTCCCAGAACACCCATGTGTTGTGGGAAGAACAGATAATAGTATTTGAATCATGGAGGCTGTTCTTTTCCGTGCTATTCTTGTGATAGTGAGTAAGCCTGGTGAGATCTGATAGTTTATCAGGGGCTTCCACTTTTCTTGCTTTCTCACTTTCTTTTGCTGCTGCCGTGGAAGAAGTGTCCTTTGCCTCTTGCCATGATTCTGAGTCCTCCCCAGCTATGTGAAACTGTAAGTTTAATTAAACCTCGTTTCTTCACAGCCTGGGGTATTTATTTATCAGCAGGATAAAAATGGACTAATACATAATCATAGAATATTTATGCATTTAAGTAACAGTGGCATTATACATTTTATTTAAACACATGTGTGTGTTTGTAAATGTGTACGCACCTGCTTGGAGTATTTTAGGATCTTAAACCATCAATTTCTTAAATTTCATCTTTTTCACATCTTTGGTTTTTTAAATATAGAAGCTTATAATCATATTTTCCTATGGTAATTTTGGTACATTTCACATTTAATGGCTTATTTCTAATAATATGATTGACAGGAAAAAAAAACTTTTTTAGGTATTAGTAATTTGTTATAAAAAATTACGCTTGTGTATTTGGTTGAGTGTCTGACCTTCATTGTATTTACAAATGTAGATTTAAAAATTCAGAATTAACACCAATTCACCTCATAGTTATTGTTTAAAAACAAATAGCAGGTATATATATCTTATGAGTCTATAGGTCTTAAACATTAAATACTGTTAAATCATTATAGGTACAATTAGATCAAAGAAACAACATTGATGGACTATAATGACTGAGATATTAATTAAGCACAAGCCAGCAAATCTAAACAAAGGTTATGCAACTACACCCTTTTCCTAACTCCTTCTACAAATCATTAGGCTGAATCTTTTTTTTTTTTTGAACATGAATTTCAACATAAAATTTAAGTGCATTATTTAAGAAGACAGAATATAAAAATCTCAGTTGAATATTAAAGGAATGGAACTGCTATAGTTTAAATGTGCTCATTCCAAAATTCATGTAGAAATTTATCTCCACTGTGGCATTTTGGAAAGTGATTAAGTCATGAGGGTTCAGTCATCATGAATGAGATTAGTGTCTTATAAAGGAGCTATAGGGAACCATGTTAGGCTTTTTTCCCCTTCTACTTTTTGATATGTGAGAAAACAGTGTTGTCTCCTCAGGAGGATGCAACAAGACATCATATTGTAAAGAGAAAACAAGGCCCTCATCAAACATCAAGCCACCCAGCACCTTGATCTTGAACTTTGCAACTTCCACAGCTATGAAAAATAAATGTCATCCTTTATACATAACCCATTCTTAGGTATTTTATTCTAGCAGTGAAAGAAGTCAAAGACAGGTACTAAATCACCTTTTGAAAAATCTGCCAAAATATTTTTAATGATTCAAACTCATCATCAATTGTACAAAATAAGAATTATCTTCCTAGAACGTGCAAACTAGGATGTTAGTATAATTCTTTATTGAATTTAATTATTTAGTCCAGATCATCTTGATCATTTTTGAGAAACTTTAATTAAAATAACTTCATCTATATTAATATAGTATTATTATAAAATATTTAGCTCTCAGCTCTCAGTTCAGAAACCTGCTCATTTTTCTGTGTGGCTGCCTTACCTAACGCTGGTATAGCTCACTCCTCATCTCTCAGAAGACTACAGGTCTCCCTGGATGTTTGCTGGGCCACTGAGAAGAATAATTATTTATCTTCATCTTGTGATTGCTTCCTCTATTTCACAGTAATTGGGGAAAATGGGCTAAGGATAAAGGCAAAGTACTTAGGTACTACAAAAGAAAATGATGAATTTTGTGGTTATTCTGACCTATTACTTAGTTTTAAGCTACTTCAGAGAAAAAATTTTTTTTAATATTTTAGTAGTCTCCAGTATAGTACATTCTCCAGCATGTATATAGTATGCTGCTAAATTTAATGCATAATTGAAAGGAAATTTTGATGTTTTCTGATATGTAAACATGGCTTAAAATAACAATTTGAAAGCAATAGAACTTTCTGCTTAATCTATCCAATACTTTATTTCACTTATAAAAATTAATATATAGTAAAATCTCCTTATGTTGCAGATTACTGAGTTTATTTTATTTTTATTTTTAACTAATCTTTTTGCTTTCTTTAAAATTATATGTTTTCAAATACTGACCCTTTTCTCCCTGCTGTCTAATTGAAACATTGCACCCTTTGACCAGGATCTCCCTATTTCACCACTCCCTAACCTCCTGTAGCCACAGTTCTGTTCTCTGCTTCTGTGTGTTTGTTTTTTAAACATCGTATTTTAAATAACTATAAATTATCACAGTAAAGGTAGAACATTACTTGAAATTTTAACATATAAAGGTTCAAAAGTAGAAGGACAGTCAACTTTGATGTATTAAATGCATGTGCTGTATGGGATCTCAAGACTAAAAGTCTAAGCTCAAGCCGTCTGCTTTGGTTTCCTCTGAGATCTTTCTTCTTGGCTTATAGATGGCTTTCTTCTCTCCATGTGTTCATATCATCTTTCCTCTGCAGCTATTCATTTCCAAATTTTCTCTTATTATAACAACATTAGGGCACATTTTAATAACCTCATTTTAAATAAATTACCTTTTTAAAGGTCCTATCTTTAAATACAGTCACACTCTGAAGTACTGGGGGTTAGAACATCAATATATCAATTTTGGTGGAACACAATTCAACCTAAAACAGAATGATAAACATTAAGGTTGGCAAGAAGAAATGGTTATAAATATTACTCCAATGTTACTACATTTTCTATGATAGTAAAGAACAATTGTACATTATAATACTGTAATAAAATGTGGTCCTCACAATATAAATTATTATTTCTCTATTTGTTACTTATAGAAAGCTTCATAACACAATACTACAAAATTAGTAGCTTAAAAGCATACTTAGTTATTATCTTCTCATTCTCTAAGTTTGAACTCTGGGCACAAAATTAATATGCTCTGGGCTTAGAATCTCACAAGCCTGAAATCTAACTCTTGGCCAGGGTTTGTACCCATCTAAGGCTTGGGCTTTCTCTCTAGAATGTGTGGTTGTTGACAGAATTCAGTTCTTTACTGTTGTAGGACTAAAATCCCTACTTTCCTGCTAGCTTTTGGCCAGGAATCAAAATCAGCTTCTAGTGCTAACTCTGTAATCCTGCCTAGTTGACCTTTTCACAGCATGGCAACTTAACTTCATCAAGATCAGCAGTATAATATTACTTAACTTTTAAACCTCTGATTTCAGGAAGAAGATAAGTCCAGCAAAAGTGATAATTTCAAGTTATAAGTAAAGAAAAATATAATCTTGTGATGTCAATTACATAGGCTAGGGAAAAATCACATTGTTCTCTCTAATTTTGGTAGCCAATATAGTGAGAGTTAGTCAAATACATTATTGTTTTATATTCTATTTTCAAGATTACATTTGCAGGGAATGAAGCTTCCAAGGAGGCAATTTCCAACTTTGTTGTAAAAACTTCTCTTAACAAATTATTCCAAAGCCCATTTTTCCCCTCAATTTAACTTTAACTATTATAAATAATTTGTCAACTGATAAATATGTATTTAAAGAGAATTAACATCTATCTTCCTGAGATTTGGTTTTCTGTTTCTGTGGTAGTTTGTGAGAATGACAACTTCTAGCTTCATCCGTGTCCCTGCAAAGGACATGAATTCATTCTTCTTATGGCTGCATAGTATTTCATGGTGTATATGTGCCACATTTTCTTTATCTAGTCTATCGCTGATGGGCATTTGGTTTGGTTCCAAGTCTTTGTCATTGTAAATAGTGCTGCAATAAACATACATGTACATGTGTCTTTACAGTAGAATGATTTTTAACCATCTGATTATATACCCAGTAATGGGATTGCTGGGTCAAATGGTATTTCTGGTTGTAGATCCTTGAGGAATTGCCACACTGTCTTCCACAGTGGTTGAAGTAATTTACACTCCCACCAACAGTGTAGAAGTGTTCCTATTTCTCCACATCCTCTACAGCATCTGTCGCTTTCCTGACATTTTAATGGCCATTCTAACTGGTGTGAGATGATATCTCGTTGTGGTTTTGATTTGCATTTTTCTAATGACCAATGATGATGAGCTTTTTTTAATATGTTCATTGGAGATACAAGTGTCTTCTTTTCAGAGGTGTTTTTCCATATCCTTTGCCCACTTTTTGATGTGATTGTATTTTTCTTGTAAATTTGTTTAAGTTCTTTGTAGATTCTGGATATTAGCCCTTTTACAAATGGATAAATTGTAAAAATTTTCTCCCATTCTCTAGGTTGCCTGTTCACTGTAATGATAGTTTCTTTTGCTGTGCAGAAGCTCTTTAGCTTAATTAGATCCCATTTGCAATTTTGGCTTTTGTTGCCATTGCTTTTTTAGTCATGAAGTCTTGCTCATGCCTATATCCTGAAAAGTATTGCCTAGGTTTTCTTCAAGACTTTTGATGGTTTTAAGGTCTTACATTTAAGTTTTTAATCCATCTTGAGTTAATATTTGTATAAGGTGTAAGGAAAAGGTCCAGTTTCAGTTCTCTGCATATGGCTAGCCAGTTTGCCCAGCACCACTTATCAAATAGGGAATCCTTTCCCTATTGCTTGCTTCTGTCAGCTTTGTCAAAGATCATATGCTGGTAGATGTGTGGTGTTATTTCTGAGGCCTCTGTAGTATTCCATTTGTCTATATATCTGTTTTGGAACCAGTAACATACTGTTTTTATTACTGTAGCTTTGTAATATTGTTTGAAGTCAGGTAGCTTTATGCCTTTAGCTTTGTTCTTTTTGCTTAGAATTGTCTTGACTATACAAGCTCTTTTTTGGTTCCAAATGAAATTTAAAGTTTTTTTTTTTTTTTTTTTTTTTTAAATCCTGTGAGGAAAGTCAATGGTAGCAGCCAAACTAAGCTTCATAAGTGAAAGAGAAGCAAAATCCTTCACAGACAAGCAAATGCTGAGAGATTCTGTCACCTCCAGGCCCACCTTACAAGAGCTCCTGAGGAAACATTAAATATAGAAAAGAAAAACTGGGACCAGCCACTGCAAAAACATACCAAATTGTAAACACCACCA